TTTTTTTTTTTGTGGAACCAGGGATTGAACTCAGGTCCTTGCACTTGCCAGGGAAGCGTTTATTCTACTGAGCCATCTTCCTGGCCCCAGGCTCAGAAACTTAGTAAGACGATGTCTCACAAAATTTTGAAAAAGGCCAGGTGTGGTGGTGCACACTTGTAATCCCATCACTAAGATGGCTGACACAAGACAGCCTTGAGCTTGAAACCAACTCGGGCTATCCAGTAAGTTTAAGGCTAGCCTGAACTACATAGTAAGACCATGTTTAAACAAAAACAAAACAAAACCAATCTTTACAAAGGGGAGGGAGTCTGGAAATGTAGCTCAAGTGAGAAGGCCCTAAGTTCAATTCCTAGGACTGTAGAAAAAGGAAGAGGAAAATTATGTGTTCATCAGGAGATTTGAGCCAGGCATGGTGGCTCATGCGTGTAATTCCAGCACTTGGGAGACTGAGGCAGGATCTCTGTGAGTTTGGGGCCAGCCTGGGCTATACAGTGAGTTCAAGGCCAGCCTGAACATAGGAAAACTCTGTCTCAACAGGCACAGAACGAAACTCAATAAAAGTCAACAGAAATACGATTTTTTTTTTTCTTTCACTTATGTATTTGGCACAGGGTCTCACTACACAGCTCGGACTAATGGTGATCCTCCTGTTTTCAGTCCCCAGCTCTGGGATTATAAGCATGCACCACCATGCCCGGACTGGGCTGCTGGCTCAGCACGCCCCAGGAGCAGGGCTGGTGCAGCATGTAGGACCAGGGATCAAACCCTGGTCCCTATGCTTGCCAAAGCAGGCAATTAGTCTGCTGAGCTATCTTACAAACCAAGAATTTTCTAAAAGTCAATTTTCCACTGCATTCAAATATCAAATATAGAGCCAGGGAGATGGCTCAGTGGAATAAGCACTTCCCTGGCAAGTGCAAGGGCCTGAGGTCAATCCCCAGTTCCGTCAAATATCAAATATACCCTAATTTGGATCTAAAGCGTCCCCAAAAAGGTTTGGGCTGAAAGCTTAATCCCAAAGCACCATTGCTAACTCCCCCTCAAAGCACCAATGTTTAGAGGTGGGGGCTCCTGGTGACTGGATCATGGGGCACTAACCTCCTCTTGGCTACCCGGAAGGGGCAACAGCTAAACAAGAAATTAAGAGGCAGAGCTGGATCAGCCTTCCAGGAGTCAGTGCCGCAAATGAGATACCAAGATTTTGGCTGCAGGCCAATCTGGAGCTCAAGTGAGAGGGCCCAGATAGGCATCAGATGAGTGACAACACCACCCAGATCCATACTCTTCTCCCTTCCAGGAACATCTTTCCACATTAGAAGTTATAGATAAGCTAAGCTAATGATGCTCACTACACATATGATGTGTGCCTTGCTTCCCTCCTGATTCAATCTTAGCTAAGTGACTAAACTGGTAATCCCAGTTCAGACTAGTCTGACCCAAATCTATCCAAAATGGATTTTTTGAGTAAAAAAATACTTGGGCAAAGGTCCCATTTTTCCAGACCCTTCTTGTCTCTTTCGAGTCTTCTCTCAATTAACCTTTCCTACTGTTATGTATATGTATCCTTAACTCCATTCTCAGTATCAGAAGACCCTGGAGTTATTACAGCAGGAAAGACTGGAGAAAGCAGGTCCAGGCAGGGTCCTCGGGCTCCTTCTCCCTCTCCTTGGCTCCAAGAGGGGAACTCTCTCTCTTGCCTACACCTTTCGGTTGTGATGCTTCTGTTCTCACAGCCAGCCAACCGAGGTATGAAACCTCTGACCTTCAAGCTAAAACAAACCTTTCCTCCATTAAATTGTTATTCTCAGGTATTTTATGAGTGATGGAAAACCAACACAATTCTTAAAAATAAAATTAACAGGGGCTGGGGAGATAGCTCAGTGTGATAAGCACTTGCCTGGCAAGCGCAAGGGCCTGAGTTCAACCCCTGGTTCCACCAAAAAAAATAAATAGGGTCTAGGGAGATGGCTCAGTGGAATAAGCGCTTGCCTAGCAAACACAAGGACTGAGTTTGATCCCCAGTTCCAAAATAAATAAATAAACAAATAAATAAATAAAATTAACAAAATATAACAGTACCAACTCAGAAAGCTATAAAAAGTTACTGAGGGGCTGGGGAGATGGCTCAGTGGAATAAGCGCTTCCTGCGCAAGCGCAAGGGCCTGAGTTCAATCCCCGGTTCTGCCCCCCCCAAAATTAAATTGATCCTAAATTTATTAACAGATTCAAGAGTGTCTTGGTTACCTTTCTTATTGGTGAGACAAAATACCCAATACCTAAAGTTAAGGGAGGCAAGGTTTATTTAGCTCAGTTTGTAGAGGTTTCAGTACATAATCAGCTGGCTCCATGGTAGGGTGGCACATAGCACACAGTAACAGTTCACGGCAGTAGGTGACAGCAAAAGCAATGGGAGTGAGACAACTTTTTTCTGTCCTTTGTATTTTATCACCTACTGTGGTGCAAATCCAATCAGTATAATTCACCCACCCTTAATCCCAGCCTTGCACTAAGAATCAATCACACACTGTAGATTTAGCCACCTTCAAAAAACCCTATGACTGCATGAGGCTTTGGGGGTAGGGTAGACATTTAGACACAAACCATAATGAAGTGACAATAAACCCTCCCCCCCTCTTGAGACAGTCTCACTATGTAGTCCAGGATGGCCTTAAATCCAAGGCTATCCTCCTGCCTCAGCCTCTGGAGTACTTCTGCCATGCCTGGCTCATAATTTTTAAGTCGGGCATAGGGATGCACATCTGTAATCTCAACACTCAGCATTCCAAGTATAAATATAAAATGTGAAAAGAAAATAAAACTTCCAGAAAACAAAAATTTTTTCTGGTACTGGGGATTGAACTTGGACCTTGTGCTTGCCAGGTCAAAATATTTAATAGAAAAAGATTTCTCCGTGCCGGGGAGATGGCTCAGCAGAATAAGGGCTTCCCTGGCAAGGGCAAGGGTCTGAGTTCACTCCCCGGTGCCATCAAAAAAAAAAAAAGATTTCCTAACCACTCACAAAAAGCACTTAGCGTCAAGCCTCAAGATTAAGTTTTCCGGGGCCAGAGAGATGGCTCAGTGGAATAAGCACTTCCCTGGCAAGTGCAAGGGCCTGAATTCGATCCCTGGTTCCGCAAAAAAAAAAAAAAAAAAAAAAAAAAAGATTAAGTTTTCCAAGGGCCAGCCTAAAGGCTCAGTAGATTAAAGCGCGTTCTTTGACAAAGGGGCCTGCGGTCCCACCCCGCCGAGAGCGGAGACTGGGCATGGTGGAGTTCAATCTGTGTAGTGAAGGCCCCACAGACCCTGTTCTAAATACATAAAAAAGGGAAAGGTTAAATTTTACAGATTGTTGCTTACATGTGTGTTATCTCTGTACTCTGGAAGGCTAAAGCAAAATCTCATATTTGAGCCCAACCTGGACAATTCAGGGACTTAGCAAACCATATTTCAAAATAAAAAATTAAAAATAGGATTAGGATTTAGTTGAGTAAGTAAGGCCTAGTGTCAATTCCTAGTATTAATAAATAAAATGACAGCAACTCAGCCAGGTATGCCAACACTCAGGAGGCTGAGGCAGGAGAATTGCCACCAGTTCGAGGTCAGACCGAACTACAGAGTAAACCCAAACCCAACAAAACAAAAACCAAACAACAAACAAACAGGGCTGGGGAGACGGCTCAGTGGCATAAACGCCTGCCTGGCTAGCGCGAGGTCCTGAGTTCAATCCCCAGTACCGCAAAAAACAAAAAACAAAGAAACCACACAAACAATAACAAAAAATTGAAACGCAACCTTTTTGTGCAACCAGGATCTTATTCTGGAATAACTGGTAAGACTTTTAAGACTTTATACCAGGAACTGATTATGGTTTAGGAAACAATGGAAGGTGTGGATAAAGAAACTTGATGAGAAGCCCCACTTCAAAGAAGCCCGGAGGCAACAGCCCAGACCGTAGTCCACACCCAGGCCCGCGGCCACACTCGCGGCACCCAGCGCGAGCCTTGGCCGACCTGGCACCCGCCCCGCCTCCTTAGTCCCCGCCACGCACCGCGTCGGTCTTCATGTCGAGGATCCGCTCCACCTCGAATACGTCCTCCCCATCTTCCTCGCTATCCCCCAAGGCCTCTGCTGCTTTGGTGGAATGGCCCTTCTCTTCGCCCACTGCTCCAACTCTTTGGACTTCACGCAACTCGCCGTTGCTGTCGGCATCCGAATCAGTCACTACGGTCACAACAGCCCGGTCCGCAGCAGCCGCCATCACAGAAGCTCCCAGAGGACAACCGTCTGTGACAAC